GTATGTTGCAAACCTTGGTATTACCATATAGTTGAAGGATATAACAACATGTTTTGAATGTTGCCAATAATATTTTTGCAAGGTTTTTTAGTGTTGCCAACAACATTTTTGCAATGTTTTTCTAGTGTTGCCAATAACCATTTTGCGACTTTTTTTAGTGTTGCCAAATGATCAAAGATACAAAATCACGATAAAGTTTATATGATCAATTTGTTCAAACCAAACCCATCTAATTTCTCTTCTAAAATTATTCTCCATTACCTAGGTTTAAAAAAATCATTCAATGGACAAGTCCCCCTTCATTGTTTCTTAATTTTGACACTAGAAGTCCATTGATCTTTATCTTACGGCTTTGAAATCGACTTCAGTAGGTGGCATGACACCTTGTGCTCTCCTGAAGAAGATAAAGGAGCTAGCAATTGCAAATTTTCAGGCTCAATGTGCTTGAAGGTAAGTCACCTGATTTTTTTAAAATACTTCATATCTTATACCTCAATGATTTGAATAGTTAAATTAACAATAAACCATCCAGTTGGTAAACCTAATGATCTTCCAAAATCAAATGGTTTTTTGTAGCATATCTAGAGATGGCAATTTGAACCGTCAAAATCGAAAGCCGCGGTTAACCAAACCGAATGGGGCGAAAAAATCGAACCGATGGTGCAATGGGGCGGATATGGTTTTTATTTTAATGAACTGGTTTGTGGCGGTGCGGGTATGGTATTTATACCGTCGAACCGAAATCGAACCGATTACCTGCTAAAAAAAAAACAATTGAATTGATTATTGGGATTTACACTACTTTTCTATCTAGTCCAAAACAAAATCCCCCCCCCCCCATTACATCTACATGACTCAGCCGGCCAACCCACTTATCATTACCCCATAATAATAGCATTAGTATGACAGTATATAAATGCAAACTCTACTCTTCACAAACCACAAACTCATGCATGACTCCTTTTATTGTTAATTTTTTTCTATTGTGTGTAAAAAAATTTACTTCATCATACTCTAGAGCTTGTGCAACGTTTAACGAGAAGGAAGCTAACGAAGAGGTAAATTTTTTTATTTAAATCTTAGTTAAGACCATTTTGGAATAGATAGTATCGTTGTATTCTCTACTTATATTTCTTATTTACTATATAGAAATCAACTTTGAGAGTTGATCTATGCTAGTAAGACTTGTGGGGAAGAATGAATCAAGTAACTTCGATGTACAATAATTAAGAATGAAGAAAAAGTTTGGTATTGTTATATTTATAATATTGTTTGTTAAATTTGTATTTTACAATTGAAAATTGGGATAATGTTTGCATTTTCATTTGGAATATTGTTTGATAATGTTTACATTTTCGTTTAGAATATTGTGTTTTTGTTTTCATTGACTTTTTTCATAAATTGTTTTATATCAATTTGATGGATGAATCTATAAAAAATAATTTATTTTCGTGGTTATTAACTGAATTGAACCGTACCGAACCGAAATACGAACCGATCGAACCGATTTACATGGTTATGGTGCGGTTATGATTTTGGCCGAACCGACCCATAACCGAACCGTTGCCAATCCTAGCATATCTGTTGTACACATAAGACTCCGAAATTCCACCTCTACCTTAATAATATATAAATAAGCTCAGTGTTTCAATCCATAGTTAGTTCTTTTATGAGTAGCTAATACTTGATCATGAAGAAGATGTTGTTTAATTGATCTCAGTTTTCCCTTCAAATCATACTAGCAATAACATAAATAAAATCATCATGAAACTTTATATCATAAGATAAAAATTCAGCTCCATCTTCAACCGCATTAACTTATACAATCATATGCATCCTTCTTTTATAGAAGAAAATAACAAAAATATAAAGGCTGAAGATGAAAATAAGAGAGTTTAATATGCATTTGTTTCTCATTTTTGTAAAAATGAGAATGAAAAATATAGCCGTTATAAACTCCACACAAAAAATAGAAATTCAAATTTGATGATTTGATGTGATGGATAATAAATTTTTCATTTTAATGGGAAAGAATGGGAAAACGAGGGCTTAAACTTTTTATAATGTTCGTCATGAGCTAAATTTGATATTATGAGCATTCAGCATTACTACAGAACACCAGTATGCATGTATGGAAGTTAAAGTTAGAAATTAGAGACATAATTTTACCATTAGAAACTCAGTACATTTGGCAATTCTAGATCCTGTATCTATAATCCAAATGCAATATGATTACGTACAAAATACAAATCAAGATAGTCAAGTTGCAAATCTTCTGATGTTCCACTTAAATGGTATCGTAAGTGTGTGGATAAAAAAGTGGTTTTATAAAGTGTTTATAAACACTTTCCAAACGTACTCTAAATTTGTCCCCATAAGAAATGGCCCATGGACACCCAATAGGAGTACAAATCACCCCCTAAGAGTAAGCCAATAAACTGATGCATATAAATTCCATCAAATACAATGTAAATAGTATTTGCTTTCACAATATTGTTAGCGTACTTCATGACTATCGATAATGCAATACCATTGCATTAACATCAAAATAGATTTAGAGAAAGCTTACCATAGATGGAAATGGGCATTCTTGAAGTCAGTTCTTAAGGAGGTTGGTCTTCCTAATACATGGGTTAAACTTATAATGTTCATGGAAAAATCCACTTCCTTTGCAACTTTATGCAATTGAGAGTGTCTTCTTTATTACAATCCAACCGGGGGAATACGTCAACGTGACCCTCTCTCACCTTACTTATTTGTATTGTGCTTTGAGAAGCTGTCTAATTTGATTAATAATGAAGTCAAAAAATGAAGATGGAAACCTTTCATGATTACTCGGCATGGACCTGCTCCTACGCCTGTCTATTTTACGGATGATTTAATGTTATTTGGAGTTGCCACTCAGAAACAGATATAGGTGATGATGAATGTGATGAAATAATTTTGTGATGCCTCAGGAGAAAAGGTAAGCCTTAGCAAATCAAGGCTTCTAGTGTTTTCAAATATATCCCATGATCAAGCAATGAGACTGAGCAACTTTTGTCCTAAACGAGGACTTTGGAAAATATTTGGGAGCACCTATGATTCATGGTCGAATCACCAAGAAGATATATGGAGATATCATCAGCAAAATTCAAAGATGCCTATTAGCATGGGAGAACAAAAGTCTATCCATGGTAGGTAGACCGACTCTTATGCATTCGGTACTTTCTACAATGCCAAGTTATTTGATGCAGACAACTTATCTGCTGGACCATGCTGTTGATGAAATAGACAACCTAATTCGCAAATTCGTTTGGGGAGAGATGAATGGGATTAGAAAGCTCCACATAGCGAATTGGGAAAAGATTTTCTTGCCTGAGGAAAATGGAGGTTTGAACATGAAGGACACTAGGAAAACAAATCTTGCTTATTTGGCAAAGCTAGGATGGCTTATTATGAATGACTCTGATAGTCTTTGGGTTGAAGTTTTGAAAGCCAAATATATGAAATGAACGGACTTTCTTTCGATTAGTTTGAGAAGTGTTTCATCTTACACTTGGGAGAAGCATCTTGAAGGGCAGGGATGTCCTCAAAAAGGGTTTGGGAATGATGTGTCCTATGGGAAAAAATACAACATTTTGGTTGGATCATTGGCTTTCTTGTAGTACCCTACTATCCTATGCTTTACAGGCCATTACTAATATTGAAGCGGAGCTATCTATTGCAGATTATTTTTTGGAGGATGGTAGTTGGGACTTTGCTACTTTATCCAATGATTTACCAGAGGAAAATATTTTAATGTTAGCAGCTAAATAGATCCAGCCTCACAGCACCACGGATGATTCAATTTTTTGGTTGATAATTCATGATGGTCAATTTTCGATAAAGTTAGCCTATGAATTGCAGATCCCAACTCCTTCTTCCAATAAGGATTGGGGTAAGATTTGATCCTTAAAGTGTCCTATTAAGTTGAAGTTGTTCCTTTGGAAAATCATGCATGAAACTATTCCTTCAAAATCATTCCTAGCAGCTCTGCACTTATCAGTTACTGAAACTTGCCATAGATGCTCTAGTGGCAAAGAAGATATCCTGCATGCTTTGAGAGATTGCTAACAATTGAAGGATATTTGGTGTAGGATACTACCTAGCAACAGAGTAATTTCTTTATATTGCCTTTGAATGCTTGGCTAATGATAAATATCACTAGTAGTGCAAATTTATATGGTGTTCCTTGGTCCATTATATTTATGTTTACCATCTTGCTATTATGGTATTGGCGCAATTTTTATATTCATGAGGACAACTTTTAGTGGCCACTTAGCCTGACAAAAATTATAATGGGGAGGGCTAAGGAAGCATGGGATGTGATGGGAAAGTTTCAAACAAGTCTCAGGTTTGAAGCCCTTATTTGTTGGACTAGACCTCATGTACATTTTGTGAAGGTTAATGTGGATGGAAGTGCAAGAGGTCAACCAGGTCAAGAAGCTGCTGGAGGTGTCTTAAGGGATGATGGTGGTTCATGGATTAATGGTTTTACTTTTAGAGTTGGAATATCGTGCATCTTAGCATCACAGCTTTGGGGTGATTTATCATGGTCTCCTACTTTGTTGGGAGCAGGGATATATATTGGTTGAGCTGGAGTCAGATTCTCTAGTTGCGATTGAAAAGATCAATCATCATACCATTCGGTTAGATCCTCATTTACATTTGATCGATGCGATTGAAGACCTTCAAAACCGTAATTGGGTCTGCACCATAAGACATATTCATGGGGAGGCTAACTACTGCGTGGATTGGATGGCCACTCATTTCGAACATTTAAGCTTAGGCGTACATATTGTTAGTTCTCCTCTATGTGATTTATCTTCTTATTTACTAGTTGATGCTGTTGATATAGCTTGGCCAAGATTTATGTAATTTGAGACTCCTTCATTCCATAGTATAAAAAAACAAAAACAAAAGAAGAAGAAAGATAATAAGCTAGAGCCCAATCATTCAAAACTCTGAAGTAACAGAAGTGTCTAAAAGTCTCCATGATAAGTATATACTTCAAATTTCTTCAACTAAATTTAAGGATCAGAAATTGATTCTACAATATTGAATTCTCAATACGCAACATTGTGTTACAAAAATCCCAAAATGGAGTTGGGGGGAAATATGTTCACGAGTTAAATAGTCGAGCACCAAAATAATAAACGTTCATCGTGCTTCCAACTGTGTAATGGTTACTTCATTGGATGAGGAGCTAGTTGTACTTTTAACTACAAATACATCTCTTTCTGTGAAAAAACCAGGTTGATTTGCTGGAGGCAACATAACTTCATTGTCCAACATTGCAACCACTGAAGCCATGCTTGGTCTATCATCTGGACATTGTTGCACACACAAAAGGCCCACATGGATTAATCGAAGCACTTCAGATGGATTAGCGAACTCAAGTAGAAAAGGGTCAATAAGTTCCAATGACCTTTCTTCCTTATAAAGTGTCCACGCCTGTATAAATTTAACCATGTCAACCTACTCTGTCTCCAGGTTTATCACAAAAACAATAAACATAGATAAATGTTAAAATATTTAAGACAGAAATTACATGTCCAAGAAGGTTGAGGTGCTGATTTTCACGGAAAAACCCACTATTTCTCTTTCCACTCACAATCTCCAGCACAAGAACGCCAAAGCTAAATACATCTGACTTTATTGAGAATCGACCATGCACTGCATATTCTGGTGACATGTAACCACTGTGTGGAAGTATTAGTTAGAATATATAGTGAAAAATGGAAGTATACTAAATATATGTTGTGTCTTTGAGTTTCTTACTATGTTCCAACCACTCGACTTGTCTTATCTTCAGTTTCATTTTCTCGAAAACTTTTAGCAATTCCAAAGTCAGATATTTTAGGTTTCATGTCGGTACCTAGCAATATGTTGCTAGCTTTGAGGTCTCTATGGATAATTCTCAACTGGGAATCTTGATGAATATATATAAGTCCCCTAGCAACTCCATTAACAACTTTGAGGCGCTTGGGCCAATCAAGTAATTTACTTCTTGTTTCATCTGCCAAAGAATTTTGCTAATGTCAGTATACCATATCCAGTTTTACAAAGCTTGGACATCAGAAATTGATTCCAAAATCTGTTATCAGCTGTGTCGTGGAAAATATATTGCAGAATTATACACGTGTAATATACTGAAAGAACTTCACTTTCACATATTCATGCAATCACCTTGGATTCGATTTTTGACTAGAATGAATTTTCTATTCACTGCATGTGTTTTTATGATACTTACCATATAACAGTGACTTAAACATATTAAATATTTATTATGGCTACATATTAAATTAATTCTCCAAAATTGAGGTAATTTTGTGCTGACTGTACTAGAGTTAGAAATACTCACCAAATAAAAACAAGTCCAGGCTTTTGTTGGGCATGTATTCATAAATCAACATCTTTTCCTCTCCTTGAATGCAGCATCCTAGAAGTTTCACAAGATTACGATGCTGAAGTTTGGCGATACAGATAACTTCATTCTTGAATTCAATAATTCCTTGCATGGAAGTTTTTGACAACCTTTTCACAGCAATCTCTTCCCCGTTTTCCAGCATTCCCTAAAATAATAAATTGTACATTTGAAAAAGGATTCACTTTATGAACTTGAATTAGTGCAGGCTTCCTTTTGTTTCTATTATCTTTTACTCTCCTTTAACTTTTCTCCTAGGCTATCATAGATGCCATAATGATTGAATTTGGGGACTCCTTCTCATTTAAAATGGGAACTGGGAACTTGAACTTTGCTACATATATGTGTATGAAGCTTAATTTGCGGAAGGAAAACTTTAAAAATCTTTTAGAAGTTCCAAGAAAAGACCACTTCTTTTCAGGTCTACACAATATGGAGCAAGTCTAGTTTTTCAGAAGACATTGATCATCTTCTGCAAAATTTCTTTGAAATAAGAAAATAAGAACGATTAATATTATTTTGATGGACAAAGTGTCGATGGCATAAGAACTAAGCGTTATTCATGGTTCTAAGTCCACATTTCAGTGTATGATTTCACTTTGGGGGCATCTCATCTCAAATAAAGTTCACTAGTCATATCATTCTTCTAAAACTCTACCAGCTGTTCACTGTTAAATAGGATATCATCAGGATTGCATACAATATCATTAAAGAAACATCTACAAGGTTTTGCTCTAATTTGCTCAAAAGTAATGTCAGAAACCACATACAGATTTAGCATATATTCACCTTATAAACAGGCCCATATCCTCCTTGTCCAAGCTTGTTGTTGGTTGAAAAGTTATTGGTGGCTTTTGAAACTGTAGACAAGTCGAACAATGGCAGTTCAAAGTCTTTGTTTTGGCCACCTGAAAATTGAATGGTTTGAGGATATAATTTAGCAGATAGAAGTTGAAAAGTGAAATTGTTGCCCAGTAAAATATGTTTGACTATGTTTTTGTTAATTAGTCTTCATCGTTAAATAACACAGGTTGCTCACCTCCTATTCTCCCATTTGCATAGTTTTTCTTCCTTTTCCAGTAATACAACATCAAGCTGAGGCCTAGCAGAACCATTCCCATCAATGAAGTCATACTAGAAATCAATATTTTTCTTCTCGATCCTTTCGAATCTGCAAACGAGTTTTATCCAAAGCAAATAGATAGTCTTTATGATAGGCACAATTTGAAACTCACACAAAAGGTATACATAAAATTTTTTCTAATTGAAGTATTAATACTGAAGTATCGATTGATATTAATATTCTTACCCCACTCAGAAGAAGCCATTCTAATGTAAATATCTTGTCCATCTACAGATAGATCTCTGATGTCAATCAAGTCTCCCGACCAAAACAAGCATCCGCTTCCCTCTATGTTGATATTTAATTGTGTATATGCTATACAAGAGCAATTCTTTAAACACTTTACTTTGCATTCTTCAAGTGTCATATTCTTGTTAACCCAAGAATATCGTGAGTCTGGCATTTTAACCCCAGAATACTTCAAAAATACATCACCCTTTTCGCAATTCAAAGGTGTTCTTCGAATGCACCCATTTGACCAATCTGACCTAACCCAACCTTCTGGATCCTTTGGCACAAATCTGTCGAGACATCCACATACAGGAGAATTTGCTATTTTGCAAATACCATAAGCACCACATAATTTATAAGTATCACAATAATCAGATGGTATATTCAGGTAAAGGACCCAGTCTTGGATACGATGGACCCATATCCAGCGCTGTGTGACACCATTCAGACTCAAAGTAACTCTTGAAATAACTGATCTGTCAATAGGTTCTTCCCTATAGAATGTCTTGTTCTCATCCGAGATAAATTCAAAGGTGTATGTTGGATCCTGCCTTGAATTTGGTATCCCACTAAAGCGAAGACCATTCCAGGGTCCCATTCTGCACAGAATTACGTTACCTCTTTTTAAGATGTTCTGTGGATATCCCGTCAGATCCATGTAATATGTATAATCTCCTGGAGCTGGATCATTATTGTTCGTCCACGATGTTAGGTAGTTCTGTATACCTGTTGCAGAGTTCCCACCAAAATTCATGTCTGGCAGAAATGTATCGGTTAAATAATCAAAACTTTGCCAGAGAAAATTCTCTGGACGATCATCATTTGCTTCTCTAACGACAAGGTTTCCTGAGTCCAACAATTGCAAAACTGGAGTCTTAGCAACCCTTGATGTATTGGAAGACCATATGATGTTACTAGTGTCATTCTGAAGAACCAACACACCTGGCTCGAGGACCTTCAAGATGCCTGATGTACTCGTTACCGGAATTTCTCTGTTAGCTACCCAAACTGCTTTGAAAATAGTTACGTTGGTGTACCATATTCCCACATACCGATTATTTGTGTTATCTGGGCTGAAAAATCCCAGTTCAAATCTCCCCCCAGATGAAACCAGGGTGTCGCCATCTCTGAGGATCTGAGTTGTACTGATGATATCAATTGCAGTGCAAAACTTTAGGATGGACGGTAAGGATGATAGGAGAAGAAGAAAGCATGCAACTTCAATTGATTTCATCATGTTTAATCTCTATCTTTTGTCTTGACCTTGTATCTTCAGCTCTCGATGCAGGGGATTCAAACAGGAAGAAAACAATATTCCCAGTTGTTCATTATCTACTGTCTCAAAATTCTACACGGCTCGTTAACCTGACTTGCATGGGCTCTAGATGATTAAAATTTCATCATTTGGTTCCACAATGTCAGGCTGCTAATGAAAAGTAAACTTTTCAATTGATTCCATAATATATTCAATATTTGACATAAGATAGTCACTTTTTACACCTATTTTGTAAGCGCAAACGGCTATGCTTGACCTAAAACAATATATTATTCTTATTGAACTAGTGCTTTCTTTAAGTTATCAATAATAGCGGAATTTATTTATTACTGGTATTGACTTGTTGTTTCTACTGTTTTCAGATATAAATCAGGTGGGAAAGAGCAAGAAATTGTACTTCAATCATGCTTCATGTGAAGTTGCCAAGAAAAGACGTTCCTCCTTCCTAATGAATATTTATAGCAAATATTCCAAATGCAACAGAATTTAGGTAGTGTTTGATTGGAACCAATTGCATAGAAAATGGAACAAATTTTTCATCTTTTACTCAATTAATGGTGTTTGATACCATTTATTTTCCATAAAATTGGTTTTTTGCTTTTGTTGCCACATGGACATTTTCCATCTAATTGAGTGAGAATTCATTTTCCTGGTTACTGTAGTGTTTTTTTAATTTTTTTCGTTTTTTTTTGTTGGTAATGAAGACAAATTCTAAGAATTATTGTAAAAAAATATTTTCCTTTAATTGACAATTTTCATGTAAAATAAAGCCAAACGAACATAAAAAGATAGATGATTTTCTTGAAATTTTTATTTTTTTGTTTTGTTTTGGCAATGGAAACAAATTTTATCCTCAATACCAGTAAATTCTATCCCTTTAATTGACAATTTTCATGTAAAACAAAGTCAAACGGACATCAAAAAATACTTTAATTTAAACATTTTCCACGTGAAAAATTATACCGATCAAACACAATAATTTACAATTTTCAGGAAAATAATTTCCCATCAATTCAATTCCCTGGAATTCGTTTTCTTTCCACCCAAATTTCACCTTTGTAATCAAACGGACTCTTAATATAATTGGTCACTGTTACATCGTTGATTAGGTCTATGAATGTTATTCGACGCAAACATGTAGACTAGTCTTATTAAAGGAATTGTGAGGTCTGGTCTTTATAAGACCTTGACTCTTCGTAAAAAATAAACTATCATGAATAAATTATATTCAAAACTTAACATTTATGTTCCACACAGAATTTGGACTTACTTGAAAACTAATTTAGGAGAACATTGTTAGAGTATGGTGACCCGAATTATGTTTGGTCTGATTAAAAAAGGTGGCGGTACTATATATATGATGAAACTAAGGCTCTGTTTGGCACCAATTTTTATCAAAATGCATTTTTCTCTCTCTTCTTTTCAACCACACATTCTTTATTAAAATAATATTACACGTAAATCAAAAACTTTTTCTTATTTTTCAACCACACAATTCCCATTAATTTACTATTCAAAAATTTATTTTCACATAAAAATTCCTACCAAACACCCTCTAATTATGAGAAGCTTTTAGGGTTTTGATATATTTTTTGGATTAACCGTCCAAAGCCTTCATTTCTTTTGCTCATCTTTGATACAGTGGTCTTTCACCTCTACCCATATTCAAAGTAAATTATAACAAGTCAGTCAAACCTAAAACTAAATTATTTAAACCCAGTCAAATATGTCATGCTATGTAAAAAGAAAATTTGAATGAAAACTAAAAAAAAGTGAAAACGGCAGGCGGTGGCTTAGAATAGATATAAACCAATTTTAATTACACACCAACCCATTTCATTTCACACAATACACAAAAGAGAGGGAGAAACAAGAGCATGGAGAAAGAGAGAGAGAAAAGAGAAAAAAGAGAAGAAGAAAATAAATAAATAAATAAATAAAAAGAGAAAGAAGAAAGAAAACGATAAAAATTTTTCACCAACATGTTACAAATAAGTTCTTCTACTATTAGGCTTGAATTCTTCAAAGTTAAAGGTATGTGAAAAGTTACTTATTGAAAGGTTATGTTTAATTTTATAATTGTTAAATTGTTAGATTAAATTCAATTTTATTGAAATGGTTAAGTATAATAAGTTATGAAATTGAGTTAAATGAAAGAAAAAATTAGTTTTAGTGGTTAAAGAGACTTTAAAAATCGCTGAAACGTGAAATAATTAAGTTTGGGAATTGCTTATTTAATTGTTAAAATTACTTAAAATAATTAATTGTTGATTTAAAAATTATATCATATTTCAGGCGGCGATACGAATGTCGGGACAATTTGGCGTATCTAGTTTTGTGAGTGGAAAAATATAAATATTTTTAAAATATTTATAAATTAAGTATATTATCAAAATATGTGTAATTATTTGTTCAATTTTATGATTATTACAGAAATCCCTTTTATTATGATACATGTGAATCTCAAAGATTATTTATAGCACATTTGTGGCTTGGTATGTAAGATATGTGATATTGAGATTTATATGGTATGTGAGACATGTAATATTGAGATCGGCCAAAAAAGTACCCATGATTTTATATTTCTTCTAGCTCACAAAGAGGCATTGGCCTTGTTTTATCCTACGAGTAGGGGTCTTGACCTGACACTGGTCTTGATCGTGTACATATAGTTCACAGAGGAGCTTTGACCGTGTTCTAGAATTGATTGCCAGAGATTTAGAGACCGACTTTCGTTCACGAAGGGGGCCAAAAGCCTGTGGTGAAAGTTTTTAGCCCGAGGGACGGATTACAGATTTTAGTCAGATGGTATATTTTTTATGGATTTTTCCAGTGCATTTGATGTGATGAGATTATAGTATGGTTATCAGCTTTTGTTATATCATGATTTGAGATGATATTTTATGATGTTATGTGGATGTCTCACGTTTTTGCTATAATTATATAATGTTATCTTGTGAATTATTCAATGATATGAATTTAATTTATGATAAAAATGTAAAATGGAAAAAGAATATTTATTTTTGAACTTTTTCACTCACTGAGCTATCAACTTATATATTTTTCCACATTTTTTCTTATCAGACAGCAGTTGAGTCTCTGAGTATCTTTTGAAGTTGAGCCTTGATTTTGGAGTTAGAGCCACACGACAGAGGTTGTTAGTATGACTCACTTCATAGAGCATGTAGTCAGTATTTTGGGACGCATGTTCATGTCTAGATGTGATTTTGCATAACTTGTAAATGGTTAGGGGACTTACTATATATTTTGTATCTACATGTTATTTCTTGGTAAAAGTTGAGATTTCTACTTATCTCTATTGTGTTGTGTTATAATTTGAAATTTATGTGTAATTGATTACAAATTGGTTAGTCCTATTTATAGGGGAGATAATGTCGAAATTCTATTAGAAAAATGATGTATAAAAAGTGATTTATTGTATTTGTAGTAGCCTTGATGGTGGGTCCGACTTTTAGTTGGTATCTATCATCGGCGCATGCCACGTCCAGGACCAGTAATGTTACACGGGACGGGGGTGTGTCAGTTTGGTATCAGAGCATGCATTAGAGTTCATAAGTTTGCATTGTACATACATACATTCTGATGTTTAACATACCATGCATAACTGTAGGTGAGTCATGCCTTGTGGTGGCAGAACTCGAAAGCTCCAAGATATGTTGCCCCAATTTCACATTGCTCCTGATAGAGATGAATTGAGAGAAGCTGAGAGAGTAGATGAACCAGTTCACCAACCCCTTGAACAACTGGGTATGGCTGTTGAAAGAATTACTATTGTTGTTGCATCTGCTATGCGTAATATTGATAGAGATTTCAGTATTGAGAAGGCTACAAAATTGGAGGCTAAAGTTTTCACTGGCGTAACCGATCCTGTAGTTGTTCAAGCATGGATGACCAAGATAAAGAGGATATTTGATGTTATGGGTTGCTCAGACGATCGAAAGTTGTGTCTTGCCACTTTCTTATTAGAGGAGGGTACTTATGATTGGGGGTAGTAGGTATGGAGCACATATCTAAACCCTTCTATCATCACTTGGACAGATTTTCGACGTATTTTTTACGATGTTTATTACCCTCGGTCCTATAAAGATGCAAAACAGGAAGAATTTTTGAAGTTAGTACAAGGGTAGATGACCATTGCAAAATATCAGGTGATATTTATTGAACTTTCGAAGTATGCCCAACTTCTGGTAAGCAACGAAATTGGTAAATGTAGGAGATTTGAAAATAGGTTAAGGGAACAGATTCCATCGATAGTAACAGCTGCAGGCTAGAATCAATTTGGAAAATTGGTGGAATCAGCTTTGAGAGTAGAAAAGAGCATTTTCGATAGGCCAAGTGGTAGATAACAGACAATATTCAGAGCAAGAAATAGTTAGACAATTATGAGTGCTTTTAGCTATAGACTACCACGCAGGGATGGTAAAGGATTTAGACCTGGTGTGTCCAGTTTACTTCAATTCAAATCTCGATTCCGAGGAAGACAGGGTCTTAGATTCAGTCCCAGTATTGTACAGCAGCCATTGGCCAGTCGTACTTATACTCAGGGTTCTTCCCAGAGATTATTTACTCTGAGACAGGGAGAGAGTTCTACCAGTGCCAGATTTCCTTCTTGCCAGTTATGTGAAAAATCTCATCTTGGAGAGTGCTTAAAGTTCAAGGGAGTTGGTGTTTACTATCGCTGTGGCCAAGAAGGACACTTGAAAATGAACTGCCCAGTTGTATTCCAAAAGAGTGGCATGGCAAAGAAGATGTTTCCTCAGCAGAGTGCTGGTAGTACAAGACAGAATCAGACTCAAAGAGATGATTCAGCAACAGAGCAGGTGCAAACAATGCGGCCCAGTCTAATATCACAAGCGGTAGTGGTACAAAATCAAAAGGTTAGGCAGGACGATCGAAGACCCAGGGCAAAGTTTTTGCTATAACTCAGCAGGCAGCAGAGGAGTCACCAGATGTTATCATGGTTATGTTGTCTATTTTTGACAGAAATGCTCATATTTTGATTGATCCTGGACTACACTTTTCTTTATGTCATTTGTATTTGCTTTATATGCGAATCAAAAGCCAAAACCTCTAGGCAATTGTTAGGTAGTGAGTACACTAGTAGGAGAATCACTATTAGCAAATAGTATATATCGAGATTGTGGTATTAAGGTAAAGGAGAACGAGTTGCAGGCAAATTTGATACATCTTGACATACATGATTTCGATGTTATCTTGGGTATGGACTTTCTGGCAACAAATCGAGTTTCAGTTGATTACTTCCGAAAGGAGGTTGTGTTTAGACAGCCATGACAACCTGAAGTTATATTCAATGGACAATGCATAATTTTATCGTCTTGTGTGATTTCTGTTATTGACACTCGAAAATTACTCAACAAGGGCTTCTATGTATGTTTGGCTCATGTGATTGATACGAGTGCTACCAAATTAAAACTTGAAGACATCCCAGTGGTCAAGGACTTTCCTGATGTATTTCCAAAAGAATTACCAGGCTTACCATCAGACAGGGTTATGAAGTTCACTATAGATCTGATTTCGGGAACTGCACCTATTTCACGGGCACCATATAGGATGGCACTAGTAGAATTGAAAGAGCTAAAGGTTTAGTTGCAAAAGTTGATAGACAAGGGTTTCATTAGAACTAGTGTATCTCCATGGGGAGCACCAGTCCTATTTGTGAAGAAGAAAGACAACACCATGCGACTGTGCATAGATTATAGACATCTGAACAAAGTGACAATTTGCAATAAATATCCTTTACCACGTATTAATGATCTGTTTGATTAGCTCTGCGGTGCTGTAGTATTTTCAAAGATTGATTTGCGTTCTAAATATCATCAATTTAAAATCAGGGACAATGATGTGCTAAAAATTGTTTTCAGGACAAAGTATGATTATCATGTGTTCCTTGTGATTCCATTTGGGTTGACCAACACACCAGTAGGATTTATGGATATGATAAATAGAGTGTTTCGCCCGTATTTAGACAGATTTGTGATTGCATTCATCGATGATATTTTAGTATACTCTCAGAATCACGATGAGCATACAGAGCATCTTAGAATCATCTTGTAGACTCTACATGATAAGCAATTGTATGTTAAATTCAGTAAATGTGAATTCTGGTTTGATAGAGTTGTATTTTTGGGACATTTCATATCAGTAGAAGAAATTTATGTTGACCCGTATAAAACTAAGGCAGTGATCAAATATGAAAGGCATACTAATGTGACAGAAATACGAAGTTTTCTTGGCTTAATAGGTTATTATCGTTGTTTTGTAGAGGGATTTTCTAAGATTGCTCTTCCTTTGACCAGTTTGACTAGAAAGAATGCTAAATTTATTTGGAATGAAGATTGTGAAAGAAATTTTCTCAAATTAAAGAATCGATTAGTGTCAGCTCTAGTTCTTACCCTTCCGTCTCTCGGTGAAAAGTTTGTGATATATAGTGATGTTTCATGTCAAGGTCTTGGTTGTGTTTTAATGTAGAATGGGAAAGTTATAGCGTATGCTTCCAGGCAGTTGAAGAAACATGAACTGAGTTATCCTACATATGACTTAGAGCTAGCTACAGTTGTCCTAACCTTAAAGATTTGGGGACGTTACTTGTATAGCGAGAGATGTCAGATATATACAGATCATAAAAGCTTAAAGTATATTTTCGATCAGAAAGAGTTGAATCTGAAACAAAGAAGATGGTTAGAATTGATAAAAGATTACGACTGCAATATTGATTATCATCTAGGGAAGGCTAATGTAGTTGCTGATGCTCTCAGTCGGAAGATATCGAGTCCTATAACCCAGACTAATGCAGTATGTTCTTCTTTGTTTGGTAAGTTCAGAGCTTCTCCTACCCAATTATCAGTTACCAATGTAAGAGCATTGTTTGTCAACTTCCAAGTGAGGCCGACTTTGATTGACACGGTTGGAGAAGCTCAAACTCAAGATCAAGTGTTGAGCAAATTGAAAGAAGAAGCTAATAAAGGTAAGCATACAGATTATACCATTCGAGATGACAGAGCTTTAGTTATGGGAAACAGATTATGTGTTACAAATGATTTGAAATTGAAAAGAAAAATTCTAGAAGAGGCACATAGTTCAGCTTACGCGATGTATCCATGTAGTACTAAAATGTATCGTATACTTAAAGAACACTATTGGTGGCATGGAATGAAGCGAAAAATAGCTGAGTTTGTATCCAGATGTCTCATTTGCCAGCAAATGAAATCAGATCGTCAGAAAACAGTAAGATTGTTACAAACGTTGCCTATTCATGAGTGAAAATGGGAGCACATTACTATGGATTTCTTATTTGGACTTCCATGGACTCGAAGTGGACATGATGGCATATGGATCATTGGGACAGATTGGCAAAGACTACAGAATTTTTGCCTATTAAAGTCACATACTCGTTAGATAAATTGACAAAACTATATGTTGATGAGATAATCAGTTTGTATGGGGCACCAGTATCTATTGTTTCAGATAGAAATTATCGTTTCATTTCTAAATTTTAGCCCAATTTGTAGAAAGCTATGGCTATTAAACTTTATTTTAGTACAACTTTTCATCCACAAACAGATGGTTGGTCAGACAGAACTATTCAGACTTTGGAAGACATGTTATAAGATCGTGTACTACAGTTTAAAGTGAAATGGGATATTCATCTTTCTTTGATGGAGATTGCTTATAATAACAGTTACCATTCTAGTATAGAAATGGCTCCTTTTAAGCGCTATATGGTAGGAAATGCAGAACTCCAGTATGCTAGGATGAAGTAAGCGAAAGAAAGTTATTGGGTCCTGAATATGTCCAAATTATTGCTGAGAAAGTAAAGATAATTAAAGAAAAGTTAAAAATAGTCCAAGATAGACAGAAGAACTATGCAGATAGACGCAGAAGAAACCTTGAATTTGATGTTGGGGATAGAGTTTTCCTGCGATTATTGCCCTGGAAAGGTGTTATTAGATTTCATAAACAGGGTAAATTGAGTCCAAGTTATATTGGCCCATATGAGATTATTGAACGCATCGGTCCAGTTGCTTATCGATTGGCTTTGCCAATAGAATTGTCCAAAATTCACGATGTATTCCATGTTTCGATGCTTCGTAAGTATATTCCAAATTCATCTCATGTTTTGGAATCACAACCAGTAAAACTGAAAGAAAATCTTACATATGAAGAAGAACCAGTTCAGATATTGGACAGAAAAGAACATGTCTTGCGTAGTAAGACTATTTCTTTGGTTAAAGTCTTGTGGAGGAATCATGCTATGGAAGAAGCGACATAGGAATGTGAAGAGCATATGTGTTCTCAATATCCAAGACTTTTTTTTACTTAGTCAATTGAATTTCGAGGACGAAATTCTTTTAAAAGAGTGAGTTTTGTAAAGTAAATTATAACAAGTCAGTCAAACCTAAAACTAAATTAGTTAAACCCAGTCGAAGATGTCATGGTATGTATAAAATAAAAAAAATAAAAAATAAAAATTGAATGAAAACTAAATAAAAGGAAAAAAAATGAAAACGGCAAGCGATGGGTTAGGATAGATGTAAACCAATTTTAATTACACACCAACCCATTTCATTTCACACAATACACAGAAGAGAGGGAAAAATGAGAGCAAGGAGAAAAAGAGAAAGAGGAAAGAGGAAAAAGGAAAAAGAGAAGGAAAAAAAAAGAGGAAAAAGAAAGAAAAAAAAAGAAAATTTTCGCCAACATGTTAGAAATAAGTTGTTCTACTATTATGCTTGGATTCTTTAAAGTTGAAAGATTATTTTTAATTTTATAGTTGTTAGATTGTTAGATTAAATTCAATTTTATTGAAAGAATTAAGTATAATAAGTTATGAAATTGAGTAAAATAAAAGAAAAAAATTAGTTTTAGTGGTTAAAAAGACTTTAAAAATCGCTTAAACATGAAATGATTAAATTTGGGTATCGCCTATTTAATTATTAAAATTACTTAAAATAATTAATTGTTGGTTTAAAAATTATATCATATTTTAGGTGGCGATACAAATATCGAGACAGCTTATCAAACGAGTTAATTTTGGCGTATATAGTTCTATGAGTGGAAAAATGTAAATATTTTTAAAATATTTTTAAATTAAGTATATTATCAAAGTATGTACAATTATTTGTTTGATTTTATGATTATTACATAAATCTCTTTTATTATGATACATGTGAATCTCAAAGATTATTTATGGCACATTTTGAAAGCCCAAGATTGAATAACCAAGAGGAGGGTGAATTTGTTTTTAAGACTTTTTCGAAAATTAATTCTAGATATATCTATTGCACAAATACGAAAACGGATATATTCCTCCTATCTTTTGCACATCAGTGATCATATATTGAAATATTCCCCTTTAATCATACACATTATGCATAATCAACCATAACACTATTTATTCCATTTTTGTATATATTTGCATAATCATTATAGTGAGACATTCCCCCTTAATCATGCATAATCATCCACATATCATTTGCCTAATCATCCACATATCACTTCCTCCTTTTGTCATAAGCAAAAAGAAGCCAACCATAGATTGCAAGAACATAAGTGAAATATATTTGTATAATAACGATGCATAAATGTTAAGCATAACATGAAGCTTAAAACATAAAGAGAAGTGTAATAGTGCAATGTTTATAAAGACAAGCATAATAAATAAACAAAGCCACTGGAGGGAATCAAGAGTAAAAATCTGCAAAGAAAGCAGCTTATTGTGCTTGCATTTCCGCCTGCCAGTCTTGGATAGCTGTTTGTTGTGCTTGAAGCTGAAGAAGTAAGCTTCCAAAACTATCAATGGTGGAAGTGAAAGAGTCGATATGCCCGTTGAGGATTTTAAATTGATCCTCGGTCATGCTATGCCTGCTACTCGATGCTTGAAGGCCACTCGAACCCAAAAAGTCGGAAGGAGGAAGTTGAGCGTCTTCGAAATCATCCTCATTATCTCCTTTGAAAGCCAAAGTGGATGGACCTGAGGTAGAATCGAACCCCTTGGTGTGTGCTACCTAATGAACATTTTCCTTGGTGATTTTAATTCGTGCAAGTGTTTTGATGTTGATTGTGTCGGTTGGGTGTAATTTGATAAAAGGCTCATTTTCCAAAGGCATATTAAATTGTTTGAAAATTTTGGTTAGAAACATGCCGTATGGAGGTGCTTTGGTTTGTTGTGAGGTATGCACACGTTTCGTAGTTCCAATAGTTAAAGTTGGAAAATCTAATCTTCGTTTCACAAGAAAAGAGTCGAGAATAAATAGATCGAGGAAATTGACTTCGTCCCGATGCCTTTTTCGGGAAAGTATGATATGGACGATAATATGTTGTAAAACCTTGCATGGTAGACTCAAGTGATGTGTACTAATTTTATTCACATTTTCAAAGTCTTTTCTGGTTACACGTCGACAAGTATCACTCGGGTTATAACCTTCGATCGACGGATGTGCTTTATGATGATAAATTTGTGTTTCACAGATGTCAAGCCTAAGAATTTCACGAATGAGGTCTCTGGAAATTTTGATATTCACATTGTTAAGAAAACGAGAGATTGTGTCCGATCAAGCGATAACCATTGAGTGATAAAATTCCCTCATTAACCTAGGATATGCATACTCTTCCATCTCAACTAGGGGGTCCAACCCATGTTTTCTAGGTATTTCTCAACGTGAAATGCAGGTGCTTGTAGTGTAAAATTAGAAAGATCAACGTTCTTACCTATCAGAATGGTGATTTCTCAAATGGGTTCACGGCCAGCTCGGGTTCCTCATCCATTTCTTCATCAAAGTAGCTTGGTGGAAGACGTCTAGCAGCATCCTTAAGGCGTCTACCAGCCCTCTTTCTTCCAATAAATGTGTAACAATTCAAAAAAAAAGAAGAAGAAGAAGAATAACCTAGGGTTTGAAAACAGCGACTTTGGGGATTTTAGGAAAGAAATCTTAAAATTTTCGAGTAATAATGAATGTAGAAGTCATGGGAAGTTAAGTAATTTACAAATGGGTTATGATTTTGGATTAACGGAAAAGAGATTTAGGGAGAGAGATACGAAAAATGGTGGAAGAAATGAAAGAAGAAGAAGACAGGTTCCATATTTGTAAAACTAAGATCCGGTGTACTGGACGTCCAGTACATTTTATCAAATGATCCGGTAAGACAGAGGAATTTCTGTAAAATTGAGCTTGTGTATCGGACCATCCTATAGAGGTATCCGATATTCCGGACGGTCTGATATGTCCCTTTTTTAATAAAATATTATTAAAAATTTTTCACGTAAAACTTGAGAAAATGTTATAAAGGCCCATGCAAGAAGATTTAAAATGATTTGTAAACCTATTCTATTTCATTTTCATCAAGAATGCCTAAACCTCTTCGAATATGAGAAAAAGGGTCATGCGCTAGAGATTTGGTAAAAATATCGACCAATTAATCCTCGATTTTTATAAATTCTAACACAATATCTCCTTTTTGTGCATAATCATGAAGAAAGCGGGGTGTTGAATCTCAATATGCTTAGTTCGTGAATGCAAGACGGGATTCTTAGATAAATTAATGACACTAGTATTATCACACAAAATAGGCACGTAATTGTAAGTCAAATGATAATCACATAGAGCAAATTTCATCCAAAGTGTTTGTGTATAACAACTTGCAGCCGAACTGTATTCCGCCTAGGTGGTGGATAGTGCAATGGAATTTCGTTTCTTACTAGACCAAGACACAAGTGCAAAGCCTAGAAAGTGAAAATTTTCGCTAGTGCTTTTAGGATCAACATTATATCCGGCCCAATCGGCATCCAAGTAATTAATTAAATCAATGTGAGTGTCTTTTGAATACCAAAGTCCTAAAGTTCTAGTTCCACTTAGATAATGAAAATTTCTTTTAACGAAACTTAAGTGAGATTCTTTAGGATTATATTGAAATCTAGCACATAAGCAAACACTAAACATAATATCGGGCCTAATAGCAGTTAAATAAGGAAGAGGTCCAATCATACCTTGATATTTTGTGACGTCCACGGATGTGCCTTGATCATCTTTATCAAGCTTTACGGACGTGCTCATTGGAGTGTTCATAGGCTTGATGTCAACATATCAAATTTTTTAAGCATGTCTAATATGTATTTATTTTGATTTATGAAAATTCCTTCTTTTGTTTGTTTAATTTGAAGACCAAGAAAGAATTTTGATTCACCCATCATGCTCATTTCAAATTTTTTACTCATACAATTTGAAAATTCTTCACAAAGATGAATATTTGTAGCACCGAAAATAATATCGTCAACATAAATTTGAACAATGAGCATATCCTCCTCATGAGTTTTTATAAAAAGTATAGCATTTGCTTTTCAAATTTAAAAACCATTTCAGCGAAGAAAATTGCTCAACGATTCGTACCAAGCTCTAGGAGTTTGTTTCAAACCGTAAAGAGCTTTTCTAAATTTAAATACATGTTCCGGATACTTGTGATCTTTAAAATCGGAAGGTTGCTCAACAAAAACTTCTTCTTGAATAAAACTATTTAAAAATGCACTTTTAACATCTATTTGATAAAGTGTAAAGCCTTTGTAACATGCAAATGTAAGAAGCATACGAATAGATTCTAATCTTGTTACGAGTGCAAATATTTCTTCAAAATCGATACTTTTTTCTTGATTTTAACCTTAGGCTACTAATCTAGCCTTGTTATGCACAATTATTTCCTCTTTTCTTTCTAAAGACCTACTTTGTTCCGATAATGGTTTGATTGTTTGGTCTAGCGACTAAATCCCTAATATGGTTTCTTTCAAATTGATTTAATTCTTCTTGCATCGCTAGAATCCAAAACTCATTAAACTCGACTTCTTTGAAATTATTAGGTTAAATTTGAGAAATAAATGCACAACTACCAAAGTAATTTTTATTAGAAGTTTTAGTAGTAATACCTTTTGATGGATTGCCAATTATTAGCTCCTTAGGATGAGATGGAACAAATCTCCATTCCTTTGGTAATGGGAGATCACTTTGTTTTTTGGGTTGTCTTTCTTCATTTTCTTGTACATTTGATTCCTTATTTTGTGCCTCCTTATTTTGATCTTGACTTTTCATTTGTTCAAAAGGAGCTTCCAACCCTACATCATTATCACTACCTTTCTCTCAATCAAGAGAATTAGTTTCATCAAATGTGACATGCATGGATTCTTCAACAACTAGAGTTCTTTTGTTAAATACTCTATAAACTTTGCTAGTTGATGAATATCCTAGAAAAATTTCAGCATCAGATTTTGAATCAAACTTTTCCAAG